AGCAGGTGATAAGCTACCATAGGCCAGTCATCTCATTTCCAGCGAGAGCCGTGACCCTACTGCAGAAGGGCTGATTATATCTTACACACCCAGGGCTGCTCAGTCTGGGACTCGAGTCCTGTACGCTGCAGCCTGAAATACATCACCTCTGACTGCAGAAAAAAAGAGGGATTATAATGACTAAAGCACAAACATTATGAAGGAAACGTGCTGAGTTTCCAATTGGTCTTTTGCATTAAAAAAAGAGGTGATGAGTCCTTTTCAAATCCTTCCAACTCTGATTCTTCTTCACTGACATTACTGTCATTGTGATGCATCTTAAAGATTGATCATTTTGAACCATTAAACTTTAATTCCTAGTTATAACTTTGACCATGATCTTTTATGCCATGATGTGATAGTTTTGTTACACAGTGTTGCTGAGTTTCCAATTGGTCTTTTGCATTAAAGAAAGAGGTGATGAGTCCTTTTCAAATCCCTCCAATTCTGATTCTTCTTCACTGACATTACTGTCATTGTGATGCATCTTTAAGATTGATCATTTTGAACTATTAAACTTATACAATTCTTTGTATAACTTTGACCATGATCTTTTATGCCATGATGTGATAGTTTTGTTACACAGTGTGCAGTGTATCCATTTAATTTTTGCTAGTTTTGTTAGATTGTTCATTAGCAGATATAAAGGAAGTGACCACCATGTGACAGATTTTCAGTATGGCTTGGAAAAGAGCCATTTCCTTATGTAGATCCATGTGGCCCCTGGCTCTAACAGCCCCCTAAACTTATACAGAAGCACACTCCTCTCTGTCAAAGCGGCGTTTGCCCCCCCACACACTCGTGAAAACTGACAGCAGCTGCATTGATGAGCACAATGCGGGCAGCTCAGCTGGCCTCACTCCCCACTTGACACGGGCTTGACCCCAGGCATGTGCGCTGTCCTCCCCGAAGGCTGCTCAGCCCGTAGCCCGACACAGCTTGTCTTCCTATCTCCTTTTCCTCGCGCACGCTGATCCCAAACAGGGCCCAGGCCTAAAGATGAGCGCATCCCCGGGGTCAGTCAGGTTAATTCAATTCAAAACTGAGGATGAGTGATTTGTAAATCATATACAAATAAGGAACTGATGAACAAAAAAGGGAAATGTTGTCGCTTATATTTCTTTAACTTAATCCCACACTCACTGACGGTCTCTAATTGGGATTCCTAACTTCTGTTTTATTCCTTCATTATTCACGTGGTATTGCCTGAGATAACATATAAACTGAACCAGAATTTCATGGTGAATAGGGTGCAAGTGGGTGAGATATAAAACAAAAAACACAACCGACTTTACGGATCATGTTATCCATCCCAAAGAGTTCAACATTATTTTTTAAGGAGGGGGCCATTTACCCTTATGTCACACTCTCCCATATGTGCACGTGCAGAATCAGCAATGTATCCAGTATGAGTGAGCGTGAAAGGCTTGTGATAGCTCTCGGCCCCCCGGGGGGAACTGATGACACCAAGGAAACCAAACAGAAGCTGATGGTATGACAGGAGAATGGAGGGGGGGTGTGGCGGAGACTCATCGCTCCCTTCTGCCACGCCGCTCTTTTTACAACTTTACAAAATGGCCTTTTAATTTGCTGCGGCGTCTGGGCTGTCTGAATTGTGCCCGCATCAATCACCATCATCACCGGGGGCCCCCGGGCACCCCCAGTCCCCGGGGTCCTCTCGCTGAGACGCCCCTCTGGGGCCGGTCGCCTCCCTTTCCCTCTCCCGAAACGTGGAGTTCCTACCCCGTGAGCCCGTCACTAGGCGTGCATGCAAACAATGTGACACTGCTGTAATCGTGTTTTTTCACTGTCATCCCACCAGATTTTGATGATAAAAGTGTTGGGATGGAAATAACCGTCTGATTGCAGCAGGCCTTTTACCAGCAAAAATTATTTATTTTCATAGGGGGAAAAAAAACGCTGTTTAGATTACACATATTAACTTTAACTTAATGTACAAAACTCTCACCATCAGGTTTAAGTATGCACTTTGGTTGCTACTGTTTGTCATTACTGTTACAATGAATATGATGCTAGTGAAACACATCAGTAATAACAAACTAGTCATTAGAATGATGAAGAGAGATATCCGAATGAGGTCAAATCACTATAATTTGTCAGTTCAGTATGAAGATATCCGTCTGGATGAATCCTTTATGGGTTTTTATGCGCTCATATTATGTATATTTGCACTAACACGCTGACATAAAGAGAGAATGTGCATTATCTTGCAAGTGTCATGAGAAAGCTGTTCCCTTATTTAGTCTAGGAAATGTACAAAGCTGTGAGATCTGTTGGCCCAGAGCAGAGGATGTACAGATGGTTTATTACAGTGCCAGAAATGGATAGCCTCATAAGCTTTGTTTAAAACTGGCTACAGGTAGCCATATATCAACTCAAACAATTATTCTATTATTAAGGTTATAAGACTTTTTTTGTTTAAAGTTCAGTGTATTCTGATAAAAACAACTCCAAGAGATAAACATATCTGCAAAACCCAACAAAAACTGACTGAAGGAATTTGATTCATGAGCTTATACTCTATATATAATACACGTGTGAAAAAGTCAAATTTGATTAAGCTTTTCAGAACTTTCTATTTATCATTTTATGACGTTACATAAGCTCTTCATTTTATTCACTTTCTCACTTTAAAATATTAAAACACCACACAGCAGAAATGACCTTATAGACCATCAAATTCAGAGCACATTGTGTCAGAACAGTGAGATTGAAAATCTTCCCTCTTTAAGATGGTTGTTTACGTGAGCAGATTTAGGTCTTATATTTGTGGCGATGCGTAATATCTGCAAAGCATCTAAAAACAAAATAAATGCATCCCTGTGATGTTCAGTACTGCCAGGTGTTTCCTCACTGTCGAAAACTTTTCTGTTCCGTTCCTGTCAAATCAGTTGTAATTAGCGTCTCCTAATTAATTTTGTTTTCTACAATTCATTGGTGCGACTGCTCCCAGTGGGGGGTCTTGTTCATCTCTTTAGAGCCAATTAGCTGCAATTAACAAACACTAATGACATGCTTTTTTCTTTCCAAAACAAACAGTGCATACCCTGCCAGATTCCAGGGCTGTGTGTGTGAAAGTGATGCTGGGGGCCAACACTGGGTCAGGCTTTTAATCAACTCTCAGTGAGGAAGATTTACTCACTAAGTTGACAAATAAAACTTGTATTGACTGATAACTTGGAAATAAGCACAACCCCCTCTGGCTTCTTAGTGTTCATCTGTTGTTACATTGAAATATCTGAGATCAGGTACAGAAAGTGAACAAAAGCAAATGGAGACTGTTATTGGTCATCTTAAGTCAGAGGTTTTGGCGAGAGTTGCACTTTTTTTTGTTGGTTCTCTGTGTCTCCTGGGTTTAGCACTCATCAAATTCCCTCTCCTGCCTCCCCAGTGGTAAAAGGCAAAGATTTAAAAGCATGAATAATTCACTTAGTATTGTATTGCAATCCAAAACCTGACTTTTGCATCTCCAGTCCAATGCTGAATAAGAAGAACCAATTATGCATGTCAGCTTTCTTAGCAATTAGAAAATAAGATAATTGAATATATAAATACTACTACTACCACTAATAGTAATAACAATAATAACAATAACAATAGTAGTAGTAGTAGTAGTAGTAATTGTAGTAGTTGTAGTAATAGTAAATCAGATTACTTACTCTGCAGAAAATATTAAACTTTTTAGTCCTCAGATAAAAAATATATATACATTTTCTATGCAGTTAAGGTATCAGATTTTTTAAAAATATATAGTTTAAATATATAATATATAAATATACGTATAAATTAATAGTTTAATAATGTAAATAACTTTTAGGGGGAAACAAATGTTTAGCTATAGAAGTTTTAAATGAATCAGAGTTGTTCCCACTGTAAATGAGATCAGATTTGAGAACAGATATTTGAACAGAAACAAGGTTGTGTGTCAAAAATGGATCTTCTTTTCAGAAAAAAAACAAATATGAACGTATGAACAGCAGTGAATTTCTGCTTTTTTCTTACTTTCCTTTTTTTTACTGGAATTTTCAACATTTTCAGCTCCATAATTCCCTTCTATGGCGACCTTTACTATCAGAGCCCAACAGATCTGAGAACAAGTGGGTGGAAAAGCGCTATCACCATCCTCAGAGCACCAACATGATCCGATAACATCGCTGAAAGACAGCCTATTGGCACGGATTATAACCATTAGTGATCCTTGTCCCTTCAATGAAATGAGGAATTATGCCGAGCCACACCATTAATCTAAGTGAAAGGCGTCCTCCTCTCCCTCTGAAGGGACGGACCTGTAGATCATTTGTCACCTGCCACTGATTCATATTTACTCTCCGGCCTTTGAGAAAGAAATCCAGTAGTCTGAGATTTTGCTTAAGGGAAAAGTTTAATGAAAATAGTGTTGTGTGAGAAAATGCTGAAGCGTTTTATTATCATGGGGTGGATTAATAAATTCCAAACCAAATTAAACAACAAATAACGTCACTGTCCAGTGTGTTTCACATGTAAAACATTTTATCCTTATTATTTGACTATGATATTTAAAAAAACAAACATAATAATTTGAATGTGAAGGAGATATTGTGTGTAATCTTTATTGCCACAACACTGAAGCGCACGTGCTGGAAATAAAAGGACTGCTCTCGTGCTTTTGGTGGGGGTGACGTCACGTGTTTCCTAATAGCCAATAGGCTGAACTGTGCAAGGTGCGCTCATTCCAGCCTTCCTCTCACACCGAGAGCTCATCAGAGGACAAGCGGAGCTCTAATGACGAGGCTCAAGCATCGTTTTTCTCCCTTTCCGAGGATGTTTCGATCATTTAAGAACGACTAACGACTAACCTTTCCCCCTTCCTCAGTACTCTTAACTTAAAATGGAAAAGCGCGCATCATCTTGACGAGCGCTCGATGATCTCCTGTCAGTCTTTTTTTTTTTAGGGCAGAGATGCTTTCTGGTGAAGTTTGTCAGCAATTCATCTTTTTTTTTTTTTCGTCGATGTGGATTGTTTACCGGAACAGAAGATCCCACCCGGATGGTGATGTAGTCTGAGTTATTCCTTATTGATTATTTGGATGCGGTGGATCTCCTGGAACATATCAAAAACCCTTCAACGTGTCTGGGACAGAAAGATCTCATTCCTTAAAAACTGGACGTGGGAAAAAAAAAGTCCAGACGATGCTTAACTGTGCCGGCTGTGAGAAGCCTATCGTGGACAGGTTCCTGCTCAAAGTTCTGGACAGACCGTGGCACATCAAATGCGTCCAGTGCTGCGAATGCAAATGTAGTTTAACGGAGAAGTGTTTCTCGCGAGATGGAAGGCTGTATTGTAAGAATGACTTCTTTAGGTGAGCACCCAAAAAGTTTCTGCTTTATCCTCACTAGGAAAAGAAATAAGAAATTATACAGTCAAGGAAAATTATGAAGTGAAGAAGGATGAGTTTTCAGTGCATTGATAGTTAAGAAATTGAAAATCAAAATAGGCATGTTATTCTGATGACATGATTGTTGATACAATGAGCAGTGTCCTGCACTTTTATCATTTTAATTTCGTTGTGTTATTTTCCAACAATAAAAATAGGTGATTGTGGAAAATAATTTACAACTATATACATTACAGCCTATGTGGTATTTATTAACTATATTACAATTCCCCCTTATAACATATTTGTATATTCTAAAGCTATGTGCTGTTAGAATGGTTGAATTTTTAAAATCATATGTATTCATATATATATATATATATATATATACACACGTATATGTTCAGGAACACATATGATTTTTAAAATTCAACCACATATCTATGTCTCTATATATCTATATCTCTCTCTCTATATATATATATATATAGACACACACACACACACAAAAGTTGATAGACTTTTCCCTGACCTTTATGCCTTTATTTCTTTTTCCTACGACAGGAGATTTGGGACCAAATGTGGAGGCTGCTCGCAGGGGATTTTACCCAGTGACCTGGTGCGCAGGGCCAAGAGCAAAGTGTTCCACCTGAACTGTTTCACCTGTGTGATGTGCAACAAACAGCTGTCCACGGGAGAGGAGCTCTACATCCTGGACGAATTCAAGTTCGTCTGTAAGGAGGACTATCAAAACAACAACGGGAAAGACACGATCCTCCTTTCGGGTCAGTTAATGCCTGATAAAAAAAAAAGACGCTTTTGGAAGGGAATTTCGTTTTTGTTTTTTATTTCTTTAATGAATAATCATCCTCTCTGTAATGGCGCAGTGACAACGTGCAGCGACCCGAGTCTTTCCCCGGACTCCCAGGACCCGCAGGACGACGGGAAGGACTCTGAGAGCGGTCATCTGTCCGACAAAGACGCGTCCTGCAACGACAACGACGAGCAGGGCGCCGTGGGGAAGCGCCGCGGGCCCAGGACCACCATCAAGGCCAAACAGCTGGAGACCCTGAAGGCAGCATTCGCCGCCACGCCGAAGCCCACCAGACACATCAGGGAGCAGCTGTCCAGGGAAACGGGGCTCAACATGAGAGTCATCCAGGTAAAAGAGTCAAAGGGAGTCAAAGAAAAAAGAAAAAAATAACAAAAAAAAAAACGTTTTAGTATAATTAATTGACAGAAAAAAAATATAAACCAACGGAGGAAAAAATAAACAAATAACCAAGACTTGATTTGAACCACATATTGTGGCCTGAAGTGCTTACTTACGTTGCAAAAATATGTATAAATATAAAAAGAAAGAAAAAAAAGAAGACTTGCCTTAATATCGGTCTCCCTCGACAAGCTTTTTTCTTTTTTCCCCCTTTTTTTGTTCAAATTGTCTAGATCCTTAGAGGATTTGTCCGCACCTTTTCTCTCTTTACACTTATTTTGGATGAGATGTCCATACCAAAATTCTGGATTGTCCCTTAATCTTTCCTCCCATCGCGCCTCTGAAAACCCTTAAAAGCCGGACTCACTTAGCGCTGATGTCCTTGGGTATTATCAAAAAGCTCCCATGATGAGTAATCTTGGTGAAATTTTTGCTCTTATTTTGTGTGTAAACCTTTTTCCTTAATTTAGTTCCATGTTAGTTGTGTCTGTCTCTATTTAAAATGTCTATTCGGGCTATACACTGCAACAAAATGCCAATTAAGATGGGGGATTTTTGCTTGATCACTTTGTTTATATACTCAGCGTTGCTTTTATCGCTGATATTCATTCGTACATCTGAATACTTTCATTTAAAGGTTTGGTTCCAAAATCGGAGATCAAAAGAGAGAAGGATGAAGCAGCTGAGCGCCCTGAGCGCGCGCAGACACGTGTTTTTCCGGAGCCCGAGGAGGATGAGAACCCTGGGAGAGAGACTGGAACCAGGGGAACTAGGACACTTTTCTTATTATGGAGGTGAGAGATGCTATAGTGTCATGATAAGTTATAATATTTATTTAAAGAATTGTCTAACTGGTGGTTCATATCTGCCTTTTTGCAATTTATTCAGAATCATTCACATCCTGGTATAGAGTCTAACTTTAATCAGAATTAGAATCAGAATCAGAATAAGATTTATTGCCAAGTAGGTTTTTAGACTTACAAGGAATTTGCCTTGGTGTTTGGTGAACAACACAACACTTCTATGAGAAGCAAGAACTAAGATGTAGAAATAAAAAATATAGGACAGAAATGATAAAAACTGAAAAATACAATCTTTAAAAATATAGATCCGAATGTCCAAATGAACAATCTTTAAAAATATAGATCCGAATGTACAAATGAACAATTGAAATGTGCAATTCTGTGATTCATGGCAAGTATTCTGTGATCCATAGCATCAGGCCCTGTGTTTGTGTGAATGCAGATTATCCCGGTGAATACTACGGCCCCAGTGGGAATTACGAGTACTACCAAGGGCCCCCATCATCCCAGGCTCAGACCCCATCAGACCTGGGCTTTGTGCCCTCCACAGTCCCAGCTGGCACCCCGTTAGGAGCCCTGGACCACCACCACCACGCCGGACACCACTGTGTGGGCGAGGTGCAGTGTTTCTCTGACACCATGTCCCACCATGCCGGGGACTCGCCCAGCCCGGAGCCCAACGGGCCGGGCTCCATCCACAGCATCTCCAGCGAGATGTGCGGGCCCGGCACGCCTTTCACCACGGTGTCCCTCAGCGACAACGGGTACACCAACCAGCTGTCTCAGCCCTCCTCAGAGATGAGCGAGGGCGCAGCCTGGTGATCCGGCAGCACACTGGACATTCTATTTTGAAGGCAAATCAACACTTTATTTGTTTGTTT